GTTAACACAACTCATATGTATGTAAAAGTTCCTCTACATACCAATATTGACCTGCCTATGTGTGTTTCAAATTCAAGCATCAAAGACAAATCAAATGCATTTTGATTTTATGAAATGTAACAATAAAAGAAGAAATAGTTTTAATCTGTAAAAAAAAGAATGTGCATTTTATTTTGAAAGAAAGTACACAGAAAATTTTCATTCTTCAACAGATTGCTATCTCTTAAGTAGTAGGTGGGTCTAATTACTGTACTGCGGGTTTGGTATATCCTACGATACATGAATTAATTAATAAAAAATCTTTAATAATATCCAAGCAAAGGAAATTGGAGCAGTTATCTTAGATGCATTTATAATTTAAGTTTTAATGTTAAATTTATTAGTTCATGTTATAAATACTCTATTGAATCCTCATATAAATTGTTTATTAATAAAGAATGGATGAATGAAATCTATAAATTTTTAATATGGAAGAAACATATATATATTACTACTATACTTTTGCACATTTAAAATATAATCCATCTCTGAGAATCCAGGTCTTAAATGATATTCTAGTTATATATTGTTAATTTTAAATATAGGGAATTATTAAATAAAATATAATATCGGTCGCGTTTACTTTGTTGAAAATTATTTCGTCGACAATCATTTCGTCGAATGTTTGTTTCTTCGAAAGTTCATTCGTCGAATGTTCATTTCGTCGAATGTTTGTTTCGTCGAATGTTCGTTTCGTCGAAAATTATTTCATCCTCGAGCCAGGGACCGAACGAGTTAGATGTAAGGAGTGTGGGAAGTTAGTTAAGAAATTAAGTGAAGAAAGCGGGGTGTGTGGGAAGTGTGAGGAGAAATTTGTTTAATGAAGTTTTTTTTTTGTGACGAAATAATTTTCGACGAAATGAACTTTCGATGAAACAAACTTTCGACGAAATGGGTGTCAACGAAATGACCATCAACGAAATGAATCAGGCCCCTAACCTTTGATTATTTACTAAAGCAAATTACGTTACTAATATTTGTTAACACTCGCTAGTTAACCAACGTTAGTCCTAACCTTGCTTGCTTGCTCACTAAAGCAAATAAGAGTGACTTGTTACCAAAGCTACCCAATTTTTACCCATTACAAAAACACTAACTACATTTGTTGCCTTTATCAAAGCGCTTTAAACAAAGAAAATAAAGACAATGTTTTTGTTTTATTTTTATTTTTTAAAAGTTTATTAAATATTAATTTTATTTAATAGCAATAATGATTCTATCACATTTTTATTTTGTTAGAATGTTAATTATTTATTATTTTCCTCTGTGAGGACCGAAGTTATGCTTTTTCAAGTAAAGACCAGAAGTTATCCTTGATGAAATTTTCATTGATCACTACAATAAGGATAAAAATAAGGATGGGTTTATCATTGAAAGTAACTTAATCAATAAATATTGGTATTATGAAAACTTCAATCTTTTGCGTAAAGTTTTATTTGATGATAATTACGCTAAAATGAGTCACGTAAAGTATCGAATTCTTAATCGATGATTTTATCTACCCTGATCAGTAAAAACTAAATCAAAAGTCAATAGTCAAAAATCAAAACTAGTTTTGACTTATGGCAAAACCTTTTGACTTTCGCACAGTTGCGAAACTCTCTAATTTTGGAAACCAACACTAATCCACATAATACTGCGATGTAAAAAATAACCATAAACATTTATCATTTTTGAAGAATGAAAATATTTCTGTTTAAATTTTAATTTTAACTCATTTCAAGCCAGCGCAGCAAAAAAATCGACTCGTTACAAAGTTTTACCTTTTGATTTTGATCTCATCCTTCCCCGACAATTCAGTTTGCTAAAGTTGAACAACGAAGCGTTTAGAAGATTCATGATTCGTTACCGTAACTGCACTGAATTTACCGTTTCAAATCTTTAATCTTTACAACGAAACATTTCCCGTGCAATCAAACATTTCAAAATTGGGAAAAAAGGAAAGAGGGAAATATTACACAAATATAAAAATTACAACATTTAGAACACGGCAACCTTTCGTTATTCTCCACTCACTCTATTCACTAAGACACCAAGTCAAATTTTATACTTTATATTTTTATATAATGTCATATATTGAATTATTATCACCAGAAAGAATAGAATTTGTAACTAAAGCTTATTTTGAAATATATAATAATGCTATGGTTAATTCTGATGAAGAAAGCTTGAAAGATTATTTTTTTTCATTGGTCCAAATAAATAAGAAGCTCTCTGGAAATGAAAAAAAATATTGTAAGGAAAGGTTTATTTATAAACTTGAATTTAAAAAGGCAAGAGATAAAAATGGAGAACCAAAAGAATGTAATAAATGTAAATCAACAAGATACACTGATAGGTTCTGTGAAGGTTGTATTGGTTTACAATTACAGAGTCTTTTCACCACATGGACATCTGGAAATAACATAATTGACAACTTTATTCAACAATGTCAAATAAAATCATCTCTGCCAAACTATATTTTAGAGTGGATACCTTTTGAGCAATTTGAAGATGTAACAAAGTTGACAAAAGGTGGGTCTAGTTCAATTTATATTGCTACATGAACAAGAGGAAGAATAAATGATTATGATGAAAATAAAAAGGAATTTAGTTATTTAGGAAGGATGAAAGTAGTATTAAAAAGTTTAAATAATTCAAGTAATCCAGGAAAAGCCTTTTTGATGAGGCTAGTAGCTTTATTTAAATCAAAAATAAACAATATTGTATTATATAATAAATAATAATTGATTTTATATTTATTTTCAGGCAATGAATTATTGTAAAATTAAATCATCAATGGTTGTTAATTGCTATGGTATAACTAAATTCCCAGATAATGGGAATTATGCAATTGTTTTAAATCATTTATCAGAAGGAAACTTGAGAGATTATTTACGAAAAAATTGTTTAAATTAAACATTAAAAGACAGAATTATAATCTTCGAATGCTTATGTAGGGATTATATCAAATACATGAAAAAGATTTAATCCATTGTGATTTACATAATGGTGATATATTATTGCAAGGAGGTAGTTGTTATATTACAGATTTGGGGTTATGTGGACCAGTTGATGAAAAGTCTTCAAATAAAATCTATGGAATTTTATCATATCTTGCACCTGAGCTACTTAGAGGCAAAACTAATGCAAAGAACACAAAAGAAACAGATATTTATAGTGTTGGGATGTTAATGTGGGAAATATTTGCAGGTCGTCCACCATTTGATGATAGACCTCATAATCATTGTTTAATTTTTGATATATGTGAAGGCTTACGACCACCAATAATACATGGAATTCCTGATGATTATGCGCAAATGATGCAGAGGTGTTGGGATGCAGATCCATCAAAAAGACCAACTAGTAGAGAGCTTTGTGATTTTGCTGGAAACCAACGTAATGAATTTTTTAAAAATAAAAATAATGAAAATCCCGAAAATAAAAAAGTTTAACAAATAAGAGCTTAAAAAATAATAGTTTAATAAAAAGATTATTCAAATTTTCTAAAATTAAAAATCATGAAATTGATTTTGATGATGATGGTAGCAGTAACAGCAGTGGTGATGGCAGTGATTCACAACAAATACACGAATCACATCCAGATGCATATCATGCAAGTAGATTCTCAGATGAAGAAATTGCTAAATCTAAAAGCTTAAAAAGTTATACAAGTTATGATAGTTCATTAAATAGTTTTGATTTTTCTATTCCCTTTGATATTGATTTTAACAAAGGTGAATAAAATTTATTAATTAATTGGAAATTACTATCCATTAATTATTACTAACAATATTTTTGATTAATTAATAACATTAGATTCTAGGATTGATGAATGATTAATTTAACCTCCTACTATAAATTATTTTTCATTATACTTTTTATTTTATCTTTATTTTATTTCTTAAGGCCAAATAAATTATTTTGAAATAAAACTTTTTACAATTTTTTTTAAATGGTGATATTGCTTGCAATGTAGCATTTCATTTAATAACGATTATTTAACGATTATGGCTTAACTTTTGGGCTACTCTTGTTAGTTAATTACAAGTAACTCAAAATAAGGTGCTTGTCAATTAATTAGTTTACGAATTTACTTTTGTTTTCTTTTTTACATCTAGATGAATCTGTCTGTAAACATGCTTAATGGTACTAGATAACTATAAATAAATAAAGATGGTTCTTTTACAAAACTCGAGGGTTTCTATAAAGTTCCTTTTATTGATTTATTTCAGTCGTTTGTCCTTGTTTATATTTATTAGCCGATTTCAAACTCACTTTGGTAGCTTTTTTAATGGCCTTACGTTTACGATTACACTACCAGCATTTCCGATTAACTTTTGGACGATACTTCATTAACGCCCACTAGTTAAACAACGATAGTCCTAACCTTCGGTCGCGTTTACTTCGTCGACAATCATTTCGTCGACACCCATTTCGTCGAAAGTTTGTTTCATCGAATGTTCATTTCGTCGAATGTTCATTTCTTCGAAAATTATTTCATCCTTGAGCCAGAGACCGAACGAGTTATATGCAGGGAGTGTAGGAAGTTAGTTAAGAAATTAGTTGAGGAAAGCGGAGTGTGTGGGAAGTGTGAGGAGAAATTTGTTTAATGAAGTTTTTTTTTTGTGACGAAATAATTTTCGACGAAATGAACATTCGACGAAACAAATTTTGACGAAATGAACATTCGACGAAATGACCATTCGACGAGATGAACATTCGATGAAATGAATGTCGACGAAATGACTGTCGACGAAATGAATCAGACCCCGAACTTCCTTTTTCTTAAAATTTAATAAAAAAAAAAATCGCATCAAAAAAAGATCCAAAAAAAAGAAACAATAGTAAAAAGACAAGGAATGATGGGTAAGTGTTTTAAGGATGGTGGTGGCGGTTGTCATCACTCTAGTTATTTAAAAAGAATGGTTTATGTAAATTAAAACCTTAACCTTGATATTTGTTTCTTAGTGGACCATTAAATGAAAAAAAATACTCAAAAAATAATAAATCAACTTCCAATTGGTAGGTCCTATTCATGACGCCCTACAACGTAGAGCATATATAACCTCATATAATAGACAATACAAACATACTGACTGTGTATTTGAACATTTAACTAAAAATTCCTTCCCAGGAAAATTTCAAGATGTAAAAAAAGATATAGTACCAGTAGACCGAACAAAATCCAGATTTCAAGAGGATGTAACTATACCTGAGAAATTTAGAGCAAAATTAGTTAGTTATTTTAAATCAGGGTATAAAATTTGCCGATCAATTTTTGTGCATGCTGTACAAAATTTTTTGAGGAATTGTGCAATGTATGCACAAAAAATTGTAAGTAGTTTAGTTTTTTTGATTGTTTTGTGCATTATACATAGAAAAATGTAATAATGCAAAAAATTTCTCATTGAATTTGTGTACTATATTTAAAATTTTTGTTTAGAGTCTGCACAAAAATATTTATCTCATTGTGCACAGTTTAAGGGGTTGTGCACATGAATTTTATACACTGTGATAGAGGACATATGGTACCAGCAGGAGATGTTAAAACAGATCAAACTATGGTTGGCTCGGTCTAAAGACCTCCTATTGCTGCGCCACACGCTCAAATTTCAAAAATTGCGATTTCATGATTCGTTCAAAAATGCAATAAAAACTTTTCAAAAA